GATGGCGCGGGAGAGAGGCGAGAGGGGGAGGGGAAGTGCTTCCAGCAGCATTTTCCTAGAGAGGAAAATCTCAGAAGTTTAGTCCACCCTACAGGTCAAGCAAAACAGAACACACATCCTTTTCAGAACATTATGCAAATGAGCAGGCTTTTTCCAACTGATTTGGTACCACCACAGGCACATCTGCAATATGCTTGCCAACCTCTGTTTCACCAAGACCCAAACAAACAAGTGAAGAAATATTTGAGATTATCTACACTGAAGGCTAAAGTTCAAGTTAAATGAAAAACAACTCAGATATAGCTAGAGAGCAGCAAGAGTGTGTTAGCTTACACAAGTAACACTAGTGCATAGCCCAGTTGTAAGCTGGATAAGTAGGTTTAAAGTCATCCAAGCTCTTCAGAGCAAAAAAGGGATGAGTCAGGGGTCCAATCACAGATCAGTAACAACAAGACAAAGACTTTGCCAAAAGCATCCTAGCTGGAACACACCCATGAAATAAAAGCGAAAGTGTTCTACAAAGGCCTGTCTAGTTCCACTCAATGCTTTAACCTCCTGATTGTAATTCTCAAAGAAGAGTGATGTCTGAGCAAACCCAGAAGAGATGAACCCTACTGTGTCGCTTAAAAGCGGAAGTCCCACAAAGTCTTATCAATTGAAAACTGTCTCTGGTCTCTTTAACAGTATCAGAAAAATCTTAAAAACTCTCACCTGTGTTTCAGGATCATCAGATCCCAAGCTAGCCGCTCCCAATTTTACTACCTCAGCAAGCTGAGTGATGGTGTTAGCTGACGACTGAGCTGCTTGGGCCAGTTTGTCCTGACTCGAGGCAGCACCAGAAACCAACAGTTTTGTATCTTCAACTAAAGCTTTTGCTGTTTTCAGGATATTTTCCCTGTAGCAAAAAAAGAGGAAGCAGGGAAGGAAGTGGAAAAGGGGAAGAGGAAAAAAACGTGTTTTTCAACGTTATGGTGACTAACAGCTACATAAAAGAGCTGATAAAAGTCATCAGGCCAGTGTCCACTCATAATATACCACAGCCCAGGTTAAAAGTTAAAAAAAAAAAAAAAAAAAAAAAAGACAAGACAATTATTAAAACAGTAGCATTATATTTTGGTCTAGATGCAGGGCAGTTTATTAAAATGATGCCCTCTTGAAAAGAAATTAAGTAGGGCAGTAGCAGAAGACAGCAGTGGATTTTAATACCGAAAGAAAACCTCCTTCTTAATCAGCACATCGTAAGGAAACTAAAACAACTATTTGTGAGGAAGGCAGTAGCAAGAATGGCAAAAGGAACAGAGCATGTGACCTAGTCAGGGTTCCCCCCCACCATATACATGTTTTGACACATAAAGACAACAAATCCAAAGCAACATTTGGGTAAAAGAGGAAACCATTTTGAGTATGCACTTCACAAATGAGTCAAGTTACCCAAGAACTAGAGCCATGTTAATGTAAAATGTCAGCCTGGAAATTAATGACACCTGTATGAAAACCCCTGACTTGCAGTCTGCAGAACAGCAGCAACTTACACACCAGCAACTCACACACCACTGCATCTTTCTTCTTTCTTGAGTAACCTGCAATGTGGGAAATAAATGCTGGCCACGCAACTGTCGCATAGGGCAACTAATCTGCGAAGCAGTAAGTCAGTGTCTCAGCTATAAAGCCCTGGACTTAACTGCGAAGGAAGTAACAGTCAGATGCTGCCAATCTCTTAATGTGATGAAAAATGCCATGGGATTATTTTGTTGCAGATGCTACTTGAAGGGAAAATGGATTTATCTCTGCCAAAGGGGAAAATGCATGGCATAGCTGTGCTGTTTCCATCACTGCTGTCCACAACAGCACCAACCATAAGCATGGTTTAGGTAGACAAACAGCCAGTCAGTCAAGAACAGCTGTGGGGTAAAAAAGTATACAGAAGATTCCTCTTCAGTGTCATGGACAACTAATTTTTGCTACAGGAATAACAGCGCATGGTAGTCTATGCAGTGAGACGTCTTGAATAAAAGCAAAGAAAAGCCAAAATAGCGCTAACAGTTGCAGACTATCTGTGGGAAGTGCTCTCGGCAGGTGTCCCCCAGCTTTTTTAAAATGCTCTCCTCACAGAAATAACCAAAGTGAAGTTTGCTGTCCCCTATCAATATCCCAATTTTCCTATCTCTCATTCCACTGCCTCATTCAATTTCATTAACAGGAATCCAGAAAGGTAAAAATTTATCTCCACATGCCGGTCACTTTTGCCAATTCCACCATGCCCCTGTGCACACGCTCATCTTTTTCAGTTACACTGACCTGTGGTCTGCAAATGATTCGTTGTTCTCAGCATTAAGGGTTCCAGCAGTAGCAAACATGATAGTGGTGTCTAGATCTGCAATTATCCCAGACACAGCACTAGCCGCAGTAATACAGGCTTGCGTGCCTTTGTTTCCTGCTTGAAGGGCAGATAAAACTAAGGAGACCTGGAAACAACAAAGCAACAAGTTGGTCATTGAAAGAAAGCCTCATTATGGGATGTTAAGCAAGCTCTTTAACATGACCGTGATCAATAATGGAAATTCATCCCACAGTGTCATTTTGCAAACTTTAATAAGCCTCTCCTTCCCCTTCCCTTCATTTGCTCCCTTTATGCAGCAGTCACTGTGATGACTAAAGATTTGAGTTTTAATTTGAGACATTAATTTGAGTAATTAATTTGAGACATGAAATGAAAGGGGACTTCAGCTAGGAAGTCCACTCTTCAGACAGAAGGAAGCTATCTCTTCATCACAGGATGAAGCACATCAGACAAAACTTCCTTGAAATACAGTCAGAGGTAGCATAGTGAACTCCTGCCAGGGTAAATGTCAGAGCCAAGAGCTACTGCTCGTTCCCTAACACGTGCCAAATAAACACCAGCCTCAAGCACCCCAGGAGGCATGTACAGTACACTGATACAAACTTTAACACCAGAGAAATAGAAAGGATAGACTCTGAATCCAGATACTAAATGTTGTTATATTTATAGAAACTTACAGAAAGACCATATATGGCTTTATATCTGGCAACATTTTTGATCACTAAAAAAGTGAGAGATCTTGATTTCATCTAATTAACATTGAACTTACAAAGCTCCACAGCTGGGATGCCGTTCTCATGCACCACCACAGTCCTAAATTCTGCTTTTGCAAGAAAGGATCCACATCTGGGGATATGTATACTGACTTCTAATAGTACAGCTCTTCCTGAGGTTCTGTTCAGATTCAAAGTTGTCCCCGAATAGGTTGTCCCTGTGATTCGTTATTACTCTCCTTACCAGTTTTAACTCTTCTTACAAGATACTGTCTATCCTTGCATAAATTTGGAATTGCTGATACCCCTGGGGCACAACACAGTGGGAAATTTGTACAGCTGAGAGCAGACTAACACAGGCTGAACCAGTGATGTTTGGCGAAATCTGAAAGTGACATTTGACCCTCAGTGTTCGTGCCCAGCAAAAGGAGAGGCAGGCCATCAGAAAGATTCAGCAAAGCCAAGCTTCCCAGGCCATCTGCCTAAAGTGGACATTTCCAAAGGCCAAGAAACCCCAGACAGTTTGATGATCTAAGTGCTTTCTTTAGCTTGGCCCAGTCTTAAAAGGTGAGGACATTGCTACATGAAATCACATGACATCAACCAACCTCATCTCGGTAGCTGTGGCCATCCTCATGGACTTAGTATTTCCAAGGTTGTGCCTCATAAGGCACAAGTGCCACATCATGTCTTTGAGATTAGTTTTGGACCGGTTTCCTTCTAGTATGAGGCTGAAGTTTTATTACAAGACATAAGCAAGGGCTAATCATGGCGTAATCTAGCACATCAACTGCACTGAACACTTGAAAGAACAAACTTTGTGTCATTCAGCCAGTACTGTACTATAACGGGAAGTTAAAAAAAAATAATTCCTGAACCCAAACAATCTCCCTGGGGAAGCACAATAGACAAACACCATAGGGCAACAGAGGGATGTCTTACCTTTTCCGTGACAGCACGAGCACATTCTATCAACTCCCTTTTGGTGTAGCTGTCTGTAGGGCAAATCTGGAGAGCTCCAGCTTTTTGCACAAGAAAGATACAGCCGTGGCCAAGTTCTTGCACCCGAGTCCTGATCTGGAACCCTATCTAGATAGTAAAGGAGGTACAGGGAAAAAGGAAGCAAGAGCAAAGTGAATAAATAAATGCCACGCTGGTATATTGCATCAAGACAAATGGAAGCATGATCAGTCTGGTGACTCTTTATTACCAACACTCCCCCCATCGCTATACTCTGCAGGGATCAGAAAAAAAGGACAGCTATCATACCATCTACTCATGTAGTACAACCCTACAAAAGGCTTACCGATGGAAAAGGAGTACTAGTGAAGCAGACCCTGGGAAAGAGAAGGCATAAGGTGTGTACCCAAGTCAAGTGTACGTAATTCAGGCACGCACAACTTCACCACATTCGAATCATGCTACTTTGTCTCCCAGAACCACACCATCAGTGTGAGCTGCATTCAAGGTATACACGATGGGTAAAAAGCACACATTTATTCTACACTGCTGAAACTGGATCAAAAAGTGTACGATATTTGTTTGTTTTTGAATTTCACACAGAGTCTGAACTCTCCAGAACTGATCACGTACATGCGGAGCACTGAAATGGGGAAAATCCTGCCCTCACCACTTCAGATTTATTAATAATCCAACAGCATAATCTATGCAGTCTCTGTTTAGGAACATGTGAGTGTTTTAGCACCTGAATGTTCTTAGGCATATAGGTGTGTATTGGGATTAATAAGTAAGCAGGAATCACAGCCATTAGTATCACAAATGGAATTATTTCAATTTCAGGCAGAAAGTAATGTGCAGAAACAGTAACTCAATTTAACAATATTGCCGAATGCAAGCTGTTGCTTTTCACGTAGCTACAGAGCACAAAACACTCAAGTAGTCTATCAGTGATGGAACGTAATTACAAAGTCAAGAAGTCTTTGAAGGTCTTATCTAGATAATCTGATACACCCAGTGATGGTGAGATACCCTCTCACCCCATCTCGATGGGGTTCGTCTGTGCTCCACAACCAGAGGCACGCAATGAGAAGAAGAGAGGTGAAAGGATTTCTGTAATTGTGCTCAGAAAACATCCAAGCAACTACTGTAACAGGTTAATGCAACTGAGGCGAACAGTCTGTGTTCCCCTGTTAGTGTGAGGTGTCCGAGACTGCATGGGGAACTCGCTTCTCCTGCATCGCATTCTGACTCTGAGGCATGAAAGACATCCCGTCACCAAGATATACTTGTGCTGCTAGGGGTTGCCTGCATCTCACTTTCAGGACAGGAATTTATACTTGAAATGGCTTGCAGACAACATAAAAAACCCCTGTATCTATATTTGTAATTCATCAAAACATACGAGATCAAAGGAAAGCTGTACAGTAAATAATTAAGAGTTTTCTTTGTATTTGCAAATTGTCTGTAAGCGGAACCCCCAAGTAATTTGGGAGGTTCTGTCCTGATCTAAGGAATTGCCCACTGAAGCTGGACTGAGGTTTTGGAAAAGGTTTCTGTTCTTTGATTGGGTAATTCTTATAACAACACTTGTAGCATAAAAAGCCACACTTATGAAATAAAACATTACAACTTTTGCATAGCCCCTAAGTGTTGTTAAAAATCTGCCGATTGATAGCGCTCCTAGGAGAAAAGCTGCTCTGTAGACAGTTCACATCTATTGAGGGCAATAGGAGGCCTGCAGAGAAACAGAAGTGAAGATGGTTTGAAGTTCTGAATGTTCATGGAAAACATTTTGTAGTAAATCCTAATTCCTATCGTTATACATCCGTGCAAGTGAGCAGTGGTAAACCTGAGGTGTGTTATCAGTAAATATGTACTTCATAGTACTGTGTGTGGCTCTGCCCCAACCTGCCCTGCACACTGAATGGAGAGTGTATCTGGAGGAGGAAAAGGTCAACATCAAAGACCAAAACAGACAGCCCTCCACAAGTCATAAGAAGGAAATGGTAGCTACAACACATACATGGAAATAACCATTGATATGCTAAGATTTCACAGCATTTTAAAAAGACACAATTTTGCTACACTCATCAGTTCCTTTCCGTCCAATGCAAACAAACTCAGAGAGCTTTTGCCTGGCTGCATACACTTTGTGTCTTAAAGTCTGTTTTTAGCGAAAATAGATCGTAAAAGAGAGAGAACTGTATAGCCAAAGTACATCTATAACGTTGACTTGGTTCACATCACCGTTTCAATTGAGCAATAGCAGGCCAGATGAAATTCTTCTGGGAACAGATGCACTGCCCTGTCCCACATTTCAAGTGTCAGCGGGCCAGAGGTAGCACATCTGTCTGCCTGTCAGAGAGAGCACATGTAGTATAGATAGTGCTTGTGTACAAAAGTGGCTAACAAAGCGGAGGCAGTGAAAACGCGTTCACTGCATTTGTTATAGAATCATTGCAAAGACATTTGAAAGAAAACACATTACCCAAAGGTTTGAAACCTATTATCTGTCTGATCACACAAGGGACGTATTGCATTCAGCAACGGCCACAAGCATGTTGCTACAGCCGAGCGAGGTGAATACCCCTTGTAACTTTGCTCTGTATTTATTGTATTCCCTATGGCAAAAGAATACCCATGTTGATGCCACCGTGTATAGAGAATAAAGAGGTCTAGAAACTGCAGACCTCCTCTGGTTCTGCTGTAGCTGCAGCCATTCGGCCCTGGAGAGCCAAATGCCCATAGTCATTGGTCATTTGTGATGCAAGTCCTCCCAACTCTTCTGGGTTAGTAACCGACTTAGTCATCTGAAAAAAGAACACAGGCAAGAGAAAAAGAAAAATGACAGGCATGAGAATAATTTGTTAATACACTCCAGCTTAGAAGCACACTCATTTGTTTGGCCACACTGATGAAATGGGGTAAACCACTCGCCATGTAAGGCACCTGTCCTCCGGCAAGAATTCCATTAGGAAACTCAAGCAAACATGCTTTATTAGAGTCACGGTAACCAGGCACTCGCAAAACATACGGAGTAATCAAAGAGCAGCAGTTAGGGCTGGTAATTCACTCTTTGACGCAGTGGGGCAACGGGCCAGGTACGCAGTTACGAACAGACCGGGTGGGGAAGCAGGTTTTGTGTGTCGCAGCCACCTTATTTTGTCAGAGGTGAGCTAGCCTACATCAGTTTCAGCTGGTGTGGCATGGGAGCACGAAAATGGAAAAAAATCTGAGGACAGATACAAAACACATCTAAGATATGGGAAAAG